ACAGAAACAGGAAAAGAAATAAACAATATGCAAAACACGACGAAGGCGTACAGATATTGCATATCAAGTATACGCAGTGGAGAGCTTCAGCTACATGATTTTGCATATTGAAGAGGTTCCCCCCCGCTACCCTCACCAATCAACAAATACCCAGTATAACAAGGTCAGTCCGCATCATTTCGATATCAAATGTCCATAAATCCGGGCCCCACTAAGGGAGCTCCATATCGAAGCTCACTTTATGCATAAATGTTCAAATAAATGTCGCAGGATAAATATTTAATAAACATAAGCGAGAGACGCAAATATCGAGCAGGGGATACTGACGACTGACGACAAATATTGAAATAAAATGGGGGGCAATAAAACAGCTCTGGCCTCGCATCTCCATTGCTCTCCACCCATCAACCCCCAAGTTTATGTCTCAATTGCGTCATCAATTTGCATTTGATGGGGAAAAAAAGAGCGAAATTAGAGCGACGAGATTGCTGTTGCTCCTCTGGTTTATTGATCGCCCGTTTGACATTGCATCAATATTGCGAAAAAGTTAACAAGCAGCAGGCAATATACATACATACGTATATAAATATATACATACACATATATATCAACTTTATATTTAAAAGCTTTTCTCTGCTTTTCCTTCGTCGTTTGTTTATCTTTCGCCCTCTGTTTGTCTTCGCGTAGCGACTCTGCAGACAAATTGAAATGTTGCATTCATTATGCTACCCTTAAAGCGGGTATCTTGTGCCTTCTCTAGCCGATGGTTTCCGCTAATATTATTCGATGGATGCGTATAAATTACACCCGATACTGATAGAGAATTAGCATATATATAGTATTTATTTTTTTCGTTTGTCAATAAATGAGTTTAAAATAAAAGTACAAACCATAATTTTTCTTTAGTTTTAGTCAGAATTTACTATTTCAATTAATAATAATAATAATGATACAAAATTAATAATTGCATTTTTGGTCACCAATTTTTTCTGTGTATTTTGTATTTACATTCTTGATCCCGAGTTTCGGTCTATAAACGATTTTATTGCAAGTGTATCTATCGGTGGATTTATTTTCTTATGCAGGATGCGAATTCGTTTCACAGTTTCCCATGGATCTGATGGTTTTTGTGCAGAATTTTCCCTCGTCAGGCATTCATTATGTATGCCATTAATATCCAATTAATATTCTATATTTTGAGCAACTTTTCTATACAATTAATTTAATTTCCTCCTCCGCCTGCGTCACCGTCTCGTTGCGTGGGGTAACACATTTTTCTGTCACATCAGCGCAAATTGCCATCCATCGATGCTGCCTATGCACACTCATTAACACAACAATACTCGTAAAATGCAAACCAAACCAAACCCCGATCCCCGACCCCAGTCTCCGCTGCTGCTGCTGCTGCTACTGCTGCTGCTGGGGGCGTGGACAATTAATGTGACTGACACACATGCAGATTTTGCCGCCGTTCGTTCGTTCGCGTTGTCATATTTGATTTACAGTTGCAATTTACGCACTTTCCCCGGGTGGAGGAGGAGGAGGAGTGACGGGACTCGACTCCGAACACAGGACTCTGATCGGGAGAGTAGGAGGCCGGCCGACAGCTGTCCACGTCAGCATCCGGCCTCTGTTTGATGTTGTTAATTGATTTTCAAAGTCAACTCCTCGGGTGCATAGTGCCAGGGGGCGAGCTCTAGGGATCCACAGCGAGTGGAGTGTGAGAAAGAGAGAGGGGGGCCGCTTTCGCTTTCGCCCCACTCGGAGATTAGCAGGGCAGTGTAAAATGCATCTCCATTGAGGCGCAAGCGACATAAAACCAATTCCCAATCCGCATTCGCTGGACAATTTACAGACTCTGGATATCCTGTGGCACCCCGGCGCCCCCCTCCTTTTCCCCACCACCTCTCTGATCCCACTCTGATGTGCATTGTAAGTGCAACGAAGCGCATTTGCAGCTGCAATGTTCAAGTGGATTTCGGAGTTGTTCCGGCAACCAGATGAGCGGGCAGGTTGCGGGTGCGGGTGCGTGTACGGGAATGGACGTGGGATTGGGCTACGTGTTTGTTTTATGTGTGGCCATTGTCCAGTGTCCTTTGGACATGCGACTGTACTGTATCTGTTGTCTGCCCGTCCGGGCATGCGGTTCAATCAAAGCGATTTCCAATGTCCACAAAATTGCGCAAAAGGACATTTTGGTAATTTCAACGATGTCACCCTGCCACGGCCAGGAGCGGAATGCATCGTAAGCCACCGAGCCTTTGATTCTGTCTCTTAGAAAAAAAGCCAGCCGTTATAAAAATGCGCCCCATCTGCTCTGCCTTTTAGCTTCCTTCTTCAGACGCCCAAATGCCCGCTCACTGATTGGTGCGCTCCTGTGCTTGTTGTTGGTAATGAGTTTGGTTTTACTGTTTAAATTTAAACGTGTCCATCAGCAAGCAGAAGGACCGTCAGCAAGCAGCAGCAGCAGCAGCGGTAGCAGGAGGCAGCGGCTGCGGTCGGCTACAGTTCTAAAGTGTATTTGCATTTAACGCTAAATGCATTCCAAAGGGACTGGCAGGAGGGCAGTGGGCAGAGGAGGGTGCCCTGCCTGCGGGAGGAAAAACATGACAGTTGCATTAATTTTGATTGCGTAAATATTTCAAGTGTGCGGATTGAGAGAGCGAGAGAGAGAGCTGGCAAAAATGTTTGCCCAAGGCCCATGGACCATGATCCGTGGCAGGGGCAGGGGCACAGAGGAGTGTGGCAACGAATTAAGTGATTGCCATTGAGATGAGCTGATTGCAGCACTGTGGCTCCTAGTGGGTGCTCTGCTCTGTTTCCTGGCAGGGCAATGCATATTTAAAGTTTGTTGAAGGACCTGAAGCTAATGGCGAACCCCCCCATCAGAGCCGCAAAGTTCGATGAACCCTCCTGAGACTCTGGATAGTGAGAGAAAGAGAGACGAGGGGCTCTGGGGGAAACTTTTCTAATTAAAGCAACAACAACAAGCGGAGTAAGAGTAACGAAACCACTCCATATCCATTTCTCCAGTTGAAATAGTTTTCGCCCCTGTCCCAGACCCATTGCCAGACGCAAGCCCAAAGCAAGGGCTAATTTTAGACGCTAATAAAATGATTCAACACACAAAAACGCTCAGTGCGAAAAGTGCATCGAAATTTATGAGCACGTAGCTGTCATAAAACTTTTGGCGTGGCGGGAGGAGACCATCCCGCATGACGTGATAATTTACTTAACTGCCTATCCCACAGCAAAAACGACTAACTCGATCTGGGGAGCATTTACCAGATGCAAACATCAAATTTTATGATGTCTAGGCCATAATTGTGCGAGATTTTTGTAGTCGCGCGACCCGCGGGGTGAAGATAATAAAGAGGTTAGGCCTAGAGCTCGTAAAACTTGAACAGTTTTGTGTTTTGTGTGTTTCTTTGAATATTTATATTCAGAGTTCATAAAAGTTGATCAAATCTCTGAGATTAGGCAATTGAATCGTGATTTTTGGTGACAATCAAACAGTTTATTGTGGCAATGGAAATGGGTCTGCATCTTATTTAGTGTATTAATTTGTACGTTTAAGTATTTGGAGCTGCTTTTCTATTTATTATTTTATCCACTTTTCAGACGTTTATTTACGCGTAGCAGAGACGAGCTCCACAGTCTGAGCACCAGCAGCTCGACTGCAATTAAACCCAAACCGCATTATCGCCGTCTGTGCCCCTGCCGTCTGAGCATATCTACTGCTCATCAGAAGTCCTCTGTTTTTGGGGTTACCAATACCGCAATGTCTGCGGCATGTGGAGAATTTTCCCATAAGACTGCAATTTTATCCTTTAATACTCTTCACAAAGGGTACAAGAGCTCTAGCACTCACGGGCTACTGCCCTCTACTTCCACACGATCTGCAGGGCATTAAATGACTCGACAACAGATAAAAGTGCTTCTTTTTTTCTTCTCTCCAATGGCTAGACATCATTTAGACCACCGTCAAGTAGCGAGGGAGAGGGAACAAAGAGCGAAGCTGTCGACTGCTTTGCGGTGATAACTGGGAATTAATTAAATGTCGCGGCGAATGAAATTAAAATTAAAATAAAAATACCAAAAGCTTTTATTTGGGACTACTTAAAGCGAAAAGGAAGCAAAGGAAGGAAGGACTTTGGAAGGCCTCTGCTTATCAGCGACCCATTAATAAGGGACTAAGCCAAAGATGTATGGATCGTGGACTACTGGCAGAGGGAACTTTTAGTTTAAGTAACTCCTTTACTCTCTTTCTCTGCCCACGTCTGACATTCGTTTCCGCCCTGTTTGGGGTTGCTCTTGTTGCATAAACAATAAATGCTTGCAACAATGACAAGGCAGTGGCAATGGTTGGGAAGAGCAAGGGGTAAGGGGTAATGGAAAGGCACTTCCTTTTGCGGCAAAACAATTGCAGCAGAAAAATTGCAACTTTTGACTTCCGCTCTAAAAGTTTAAATTCATTTCCGCCCCAAGCTTAAATTTGAGGCGAGAAATTAATTAGAAGTTTGCTCAGACACGCGACCGAGTCCCTCTCCATTCCTCCCTACCCTGTTGGACAGTGTTATCTGCGCCATTCGATCCGATCCGACTCATTGTTTGTTCGCCCTTTGTCTTGCCTCTGCCCCGCATTTCCTGCGATTGGCCAATTGGCAGACATTTTTTGGCAATTTTCAGCTATTTGCTGGAAGTGTTTCCGTTGGCGTAGAGTCGCAGATCGGAGTAGGATTTATGATATATTTTTCGATGCAGCTTTGCACTGCAATTAGTAGCAATTAATTTCGATTAACATTTGATAGGTGCCCCCCGGAGGAATGCACTCTCTCTCTCTCTCTCTCTCTCTGTGTGGGGCTATAGACAGACAAACAGTTTGCACTTGGAAGCGGAGTGACAGAGATTAATGGGTACCGCCGAAACAGAACCCTATCCTATGCAGAGAAGTGAAGCTGCTTCTAATCGAATTACTCTCTCTCTCTCTGTCTTTGCAGGCCTCAAGGATCCAAGCGTGGACAGGCATACCACTAAAGGTGAGTGCTTAACGTAGCTATAATTTTCACCAATACGATCCATTACGATCCTATCCGAAATTAATTAAGAAAGCCACTAGAAATGTAAATCGTCTGGAATGGTTTTCGAACCGAAAACCGAATAATTTTCAAAGCACAAAGTAACCAAAACAAAGGGATAACCCCACTATAACTACAAGGCACACTCCCCCCCACTTTCCACCACAATAACTATAAATTTCTCAGGCCCAAGGCAACCACAGGCCCTTTTTGAATCCCTTTCCCCTGTGTAGACATAAACCAAGCGGCTCTTTAAAACGCAATCAAGCTGAAAATTAATTAAAATTTTCAAGCGGCAAGCGGGATATGAAATTAATGCGCCATGCCCCCCGCTTCCCGCTTTTTGGGAAGGTAAAAGGCAGGGTTTAAATTAAAACACACTTGTTACTGTCTGAGACGATGGCTGTCTTGGAAGCTGTTGGGTCTCCGTCTCCGTTGGAAGTCGTCTCGATTTCATTAAAAATGTTTTTATGCTCGCATTATCCTTTCACTGTGGCTGTGACTGGGACTTGGCCAAAGACTTTTCCCTGACTTCCCCTTACAGGCAGCAGCAATTTAATTTGACTATGAAACGCTTGCCGCATCCTTGACACTTTCACTTTTACCACCCAACCCCACCAAAAAATCACCTCGGCTTACCACGTTCCGCTACCCTACCCCTTTTCTCCACGGGAAATGGCTTGTTTTAAGCAGCTTAAGCTTGTCGTTGACGTTGTCGCTTGTCGCTTGTCGTTTTGTCGTGTTGTTGGTGCTGTAAAGGTGCTCATAATTTCACGGTAACTGAACACACACGCGTCCTCCATTCGGCAGCCATTCGTGCCTGCTCTTAGCCCTTCCTTGAAGCATTCGCCACCGCAGTTTCCTTTGAATCAGCCTCAAACGGGGTGCGGAGTCAGAGAGCAGACATCTCTAGAAATCCAATAAACTTGAGTGCGGCGGAGTCGCTGTAAGCTTCGGATGTGTGGAGTTTTGGTCATTGCTTTTAGAGAGAACTTTTCCATTGTTTGGATAGTTTTCACAAAAGAGAAGGAGCTGGAATGTAGCGGCAAATGAATCAAAGAAGTTTTTTTTTTAAATGAAGAATCGACAAACTTCGATCCGAACAGCCCCGTCCCATAGCCGGGGTGCCTGTCTCACAGTTGTCTTTATTAGATTTTGATGAATGTTGCTGATGACTGGAAAAAAATGATATACTCATTGCATGCTCTGGGGCCATTGAATGGGAATTCATTTCGGTTTATTCATATGCTTTTAAGCGAATTAGTCTGGACAGCTAATGTGATAAATGCAGATAGAGTGGGAGGGAGAGGTATCTTGTCTGGTGAACCCTTCATAATTATGCTTCGGCTGCAAGTCATGCCATAGGCAGGAAAACTCATCTATTTTAGCTCTTCCCCACCTCTCTACCCAGCTGACTCCTGCTCCATCTAGGAAATTCCACTTTAATCTCATAAATCACAAGCTAAAAGAAAAACAGGAGCATCAACTGACTGGGCAGAGGAAGAGGGCAGATCAGGGGCGCATACCACACATATCATAGCATTTAACATATTTCACTTAGGCAAACATTTAATCCGGCAACTTGTCTGGCATCCAGCTACAGCAATGGCACGGCGATGGGCTGCTTCTCCTGCTCCACTGAGGCAACAGCGAAGCATAGAACATATTCCGAGTGGCGGCAACATTTTCATTTCCGTTGGCGTTTTTATTTTTATTTCATATTGCACGTTATCAAATAATGAATATCAAATGTAATGCTTATCATTTATTTGCCAAGAGCCCCCGAAACCGAAACCAAACTGCGAGCTGGGGAGCAGCGCTCTTCCTCGCTCCCTCTGCCTTCGTTCTGTCTGACTCTCTGCCTGCCTGCCTGCCTGCCAGGTGGCAACATATTATAATATTTACTTAATTTTCATTTCTAATTCGGTCTCTCCCTTCGTTTGCCTTTGAGGGAGGCACGACCACAAGAGGACCAAGACCCAAACCAAAACCAAAACCAAGACCAAGACCAAGACCTTGGCCCTGGCATAAGGCAAACTGGAAGTAAGAAAGAAAGCAGCCTGCATAATCAGCGAGAGTCTCATAGCCAAACTTTGTTGTTTGTGTGCCGCAGAGTCAAGTGATTGGGTGGGTGGGGGTTCGGGGGTGGTGCTTCTAGTGGCTTGGCTGGGGGTTGGGATGGGCTGGACTGGGAGATGCGATGTTGATGCTTGCAGGTGGCTTAAGCTGCGTCTAAAGCGATAACGTCAAGTATTTGAATTTTTAATAAAATGAAATGCGAATCCCTCTTTCGAGAATGAGAGCCGCCACAGTGAATGCCAGGTACTCTTTCCTGGCACAACCATCTGTTTCTGTGAAATGTCTGCATACCCAAAGAGCACTCAGACCAGCAGATATATTCAAATACGATTCGTGGCCGCCATTTTTCCTGTCACTGGCTGTGAAAATTCACAGCTTTTCCTCGCTGGCTTTGGCCAGGCTAATCTTTTGGTCAGCTAGCTCCACTCCATCCTACGAGCCATTTCTGCTGCCCCTCGGATGTCTGTCGCCTTGTTGTCTATTCCCTTTTTTGAAATTCCAATTTGAATGCTTCGTGGTTTCTTCCTCGAATGGGTGTGGGTGTGAGAGTGGGTGGTGGGTGCCAGGAGGGACGGGCAACCAATATTATATTATTCAAGCCATCGCATTTGTCTGCGTATCCCTCTGTTGCCTCCGTTCGTTGTACTTGAAAATCGTAATTAGAATTGGTAATGTATTCAAATTGACTTTCATTTCCGCTCGTTCGTTTGTTCGTTTGCTTGCTCGTTGATTCCTTCATTTGTTTTACGTTTTTGTGTGGATTTTCTTCATCAGGATTTTTGCGCTTTTAGCGGCCCGGTCTGTCGACAAGATGAGAGCCGATACCGCCAGTCGGATATCTATCCAATGATTCGTTTTATCCACTTTAAATGCCACTGCCACCAAATGATCAACTGCCCAGACAACGGACCTTGCCACACAAAGGAACTTTCGATTATCGAGAGAGCCGAGAGGATACACTTTTTCCATCCATATTTCAAAATCTCTGAACGTGAAAGTTTCCTTTCCAACCGGCGAAACTTTGAAGAAATGAGAAGGAGTGGTAGTGGGAGTGGGAGCGGAAGGGAGAATGGCAAAGAAACTGAAACTTTTACTGGCTGGAACGCAGCGAAACCGTAAAGAATTCAACTAATAAAAATCAGGCATTCAAGTGCGAAAAAATCGCGAAAAGCATCATCAAATAATGTGCCACTCAAACTGAACCCCAGCACGCCCACGCCCCCGCCCACGCCCGTGCCCCATGCCGCGTGCCACCACCATTGGAGTTGAATCCACCGAAAGACAAATAGAAAAGAAAAGAAAAGTAAAAGGCAACTTTGGAACAAAATAAAACTATGCGGAGATACAGAGAAAGACTTCGAGAGGGGGGAGGGGAGACGAACTGCAAAAAGTTTCTCTAACCCGAATAACCGACCGAAAACCGAAAATAATAGAGGACTCTAGAGATGGTAGCGTGAGGATGAAACTCTATGAGGCACTCTACTAAAACTCGAATTCTAGATCTTATTACAAATGATTTTACAGCTAAGAGTGCTTCGTGTCACGAACACAACCCTACCCCCGACCCAGAGCCATACGTCATCGGGAAAAACTTCGATAGGTTTTTGCCCGAGAGCGCGGCGTGTCTCCATTTGCCGTGTGGGTGAGGATTGGGATGCGTCTTTGCTGGCCACATATTTCCGCTGCCACGAAGCGTGCGAAGTATTTTCCCTCATGTGTGTGTCTGCGCAGCGGAAAAGCAATTTTCCTTTGTGTCGTGCACAGGTTTTCACTTGGCATTGTCTTCCTTCCGCACTGAGCTGGCAAATTTGTTGCAACCGAAATAAACACTTTATTAAATGCATTGGAATAAGCGTCAGGCATTTGAGCAGCGAAAGGAAAACTCTCTGCGATTTCCACACATGTGTGATTCCAGCTGAAGCAGGAGGGCGGACAAAGGATAAACTTTGAGCCAAGCGTATTTGGTGCTAAGCCCGAGTGAGAGTAAGAGATTCGAAATGTGAGCAGAAAGTGGATTGCTAATGCACTCCAAAGGGTGGCACGGGATGTTTCTGGATGGGGCCCAAAAAAAAAACATCCGACATAAATATCCCCTTCGAACAGGCAAAGGTCCTTTAGAAATTATTACTTATTTATTTGCAGCTTTCTTTGCATCTCTCTCGTCGTCTGTTTTGCCCCTCCCCCCAGTTCCAGGTTGCCAGTTTGTCAGTCGGAAAACCTCGCTCCGATTATAATCGATGCCAGGAATCAAATTATGCTAGAATTGAGATTGATTTTTTATTCAATTTTAATGCGACAAATGCAGGCAGATAAACAGACGAAGGAAAGGACTCGTCGCACACACACACACATGGCCCGAAGCTCCTGGCCCTAAACAGGGACCCAAACCTCAACGAACACGTGGCTGGGTAGCTGGCTGCACACGGGGGAGTCACACTGGATTAGGTCGTCCTCCGAGGTCCTTATGGGGAACTTTTTGAATATTACAACATAAATCGATTAGCTTCTAGCAGTCTGTGCTTCATCCCACCCTCATGCATACATACATACATACATACATACATGTGTGTGTGTGTGTGTGGGTGTATCTCTGTGTGTGGGAGGGTGTCTGTGTTGTCACTGATTGACACTTGAAGCGAAATTTTTTTGCTTGCTGCTGTTTGCTGTTCCTCTTCCAGCATATCTCGCCATTGATATGCGTCCCATCCACTTGACTCTGTGCAACGACAACGACAACGACAGCGACTCACAAGGATGTGAGGGCCAGGATGAACGTCGAGGCCAGGCTTCATCTAATAAGCATCCACACACACATAACACATAACACATAACTCCACTCTGGCACTCTGACGGTGCTCCAGCGACGAGTTGGCAGCTCATCA